TCCCCTTATTCCTTTCTGATCACTCTCTCAGGTAACCAGTGGTAATTACTTGCTTGTTTTTCTTTATAGTTTTACTTCCTTAAAAACTTGTCTATTTTTGTCTGTTCTAGAAATCTATATGGAAAAGAGATCCTCAATCACATATGTACACATACCTTGCTTCTCTGGTTTCCTGTTACATTTGTAAGGTTCATGCATTGTGTGTGGCTGTGGTTTGTTCATTCTCTTTGTATTTGTTCCACCATGGATGGATGTTTGGGCTGTTTTCAATGTAGGCTCGTAGGAACAATGCTATTTTAAACCTTGAGTATGTCAGTGAGAGTTTCTGTGGGATTGGAATGAGTGGGCTATAGAGTATGCAGAGCCTAAACTTCACCAGAAAAGGCCAAACTGTTTTCTAAAATGACTGAACCAAATGATGAGTATATGACAGCTCCCACTATCATTCTTTCTTGACCTCCAGACTCGTTCCTCTTACGCACTTTTATCCTACGTGTGACATTTGCATTTTCTTTCCACTTTGAAACTTATTTTTTTTAATATATATTTTTATTGATTTCAGAGAGGAAGGGCGAGGAATAGAGAGATAGAAACAGCAATGATGAGAGAGAATCATTGATTGGTTGCCTCCTGCACGCCCCCCACTGGGGACCAAGCCCACAACCTGGGGATGTGCCCTTGACGGAATCAAACTTGGGACCCTTCAGTCTGCAGATCAATGCTCTATCTACTGAGCCAAACCAGCTAGGGCCACTTTGAAACTTTTTAAAAATCACTTATTTTTTATTGAAATTGCATGGTTTATTCTACTTTTCACTAGGTCTTCCAGCAATCTCACTGTTTTGAATGTGACAGGGAATGATATTTGTAAAACACTTCAAAACTAAGCAAAACATAGCAAAATACAAAATAATGGAGTGGCAGAGACTAAAATGACCCTTAGGGCCATCTTGTACCCGTTTCTGGCTGACAGAATTATAATGCTTTACTCTAAAGTTTTCATTCCTAACTAGTTTATGAGTTAAAAATTGGCAAGCATGTTGGATGCATGCCATTTTACAGTTGCCAAAGCCCACAGAATGTACAACAAAGAGTGAATCCTAAGGTAAACTATGGACTTTAGTTAATAACTAGGGGCCCAGTGCACAAATTCGTGCACCTTGAAAGAAACTGGAGCCCTGAGGCTGCGGTGGGTACAGGGGCAAGTCTCAGCCCATCCTCTGAGCCCCTGCCTGGCCCTTCCTGCTGCAGCCCCCAGCCCCCTCTCTGCTGTCAGCCCTGCTCCCACCATTGCCGCTCCCATGTGCTGAGGGCGCAGAGCAATTGGGGCTGGCATCAGCAGAGGGTGAGAGTGGAGGCTGCTGCCCTGATTGCCCCTTAGAGGCGATCAGGGCGGGAAGCTGCTGCTCCTGCCCACTGATGGTGCCAAATGATCAAGACTGGCGCTAGGCTCTGGCAGTGGATAAAAGTGGTGGCTCTGGCGCCGGCTGCCAGTGTGAGCAGGGTCAGCACCGGCAGCAGGTGTGAGAGCCAGGTGGGACTGCAGCATGCAGGAACAAAGAATTTTCAATAACCACAATAACCACCAGAGGCTCATCCTGATGACAGCGACCAGCACCCGGCCTTGGTGAGATGCCCCCGCTCATCTGCTCCACCATCCCACTGTGGCCAATGCCCGCCACGTTTCCGTGCATGCCCCCTAGTGGTCAGCACATGTCATAGCGACCAGTTGTTCGGTTGTTCCACCGTTTGGTCTATTTGCAGATTAGCCTTTTATTATATAGGATAATGTATCAATATTGGCTCATCAAATGTACCACACTATACAAGATGTTAATAATGAGGGAGGAGGGAGAGGGGAACTCTGTATTTTCCACTCAATGTTAATATAAATCTAAAACTGCTTTAAAAATCTATTAATTAAAAGAAAACCGCAAGCAGAATAGCTTTCGTAGAATGGTAAGGAATTTTCCATTTCTCTAGACTTTAGAGTCTAGAGCAGGGATTATCAAACTACTGCCTAGATTGGATTGCTATCTGTGTGTTTTTTTTCTTAAATCCTCACCCAAGGATGTTTTCATTTATTTATTTTTTTTTTGAGAGAGAGAGAGAGAGAGAGAGAGAGAGAGAGAGAGCGCGCGCACGGAGAGAAACATCAATGTGAGAGAGAAATATCCATCAGTTGCCTCCCCTATGCACCCAACCGGGGATCAAACCCATAAACTTTTGTTGTACAGTAGTATGTTCCAACCAACTGAGCCACCCAACCAGGGCTTTTTTTAAATTTTTAAACCTTTCTAAAATTTTATTTTTTTAAAAAAAAGTTTCCTTTATTTTTGTTCTTCTGTTTTCTTTTTCCTTTTCTCTACAAATATATATTAGTATTTTTTATTGTTTAAAGTATTACATATGTTCCCTTTTATCCCCCATAAACCCCCTCCATCCCCCGCTCCCTCCCCCACTCAGCTGTCACCACCCCATTGTCTGTGTCCATTTCCCCAAATATTTTTATTAATTTTTAGAGATAGAGAAACATCAATGGGCTGCCACCTGCACGCACCAACTGGGGATCAAGCCAGCAACCCAGACATGTGCCCTGACCAGGAGTCAAACCAGCAACCCTCTGGTGCACGGGATGATGCCCAGAGCCTGCTAAGAATGACTTTTGTAAAAAATCAAAGAATTAATATTTTGAGTTTGGCTCAGTGGATAGAGCATCAGCCTACAGACTGAAGGGTCCTGGTTTCAATTCCAGCCAAGGGCACATGCCCAGGTTGCGGGCTCTATTCCCAGTATGGGGCGTGCAGGAGGCAGCCAATCAATGATTCTCTCTCATCATTGATGTTTCTATCTCTCCCTCTCCCTTCCTCTCTGAAATCAATAAAAGAAATATATTTTTTAAAAAAGAATATTTTGTGCTGAAACCGGTTTGGCTCAGTGGATACAGCATCAGCCTGCGGACTGAAAGGTCCCAGGTTTGATTCCGGCCAAGGGCATGTACCTGGGTTGTGGGCACATCCCCAGTAGGAGGTGTGCAGGAGGCAGCTGATTGATGTTTCTAACTCTCTATCTCTCTCCCTTCCTCTCTGTAAAAAAATCAATAAAATATATATATTTTTTAAAAAAGAATATTTTGTGATTCCTGAAATTTACATGAAATCTAAATCTAATACCCATTAAGTTTTACTGGAACACAGCTACACCTATTAGTTTACATATTAACTATGGCAGCTTTTATGCTACAATGGCAGAGCTATATAATTGTCAATGTTATAGACATTGTATGGCCCACAAAGTCTAAAATATTGACTACCTGGCTCTTCAGTCTTCATGGAATCAGAAGTTCTGAGTTCTAAACTGTATAAATGTGTGATATTGGGTGAGTCACTTACCATCTCTAGGACCAAACTATAAATTCCAGAATGTAACCTCATGGATAAGTTCTTATTGGAAAGTGGGCCTGAATCCAGGCCATAACAAATCAAATACCTTCAGCTTTTCCAAAGTGGATCCATGCTATATAGATTTATTCTTGCTTTTAAGAAAACACTATAGCCCAGCCAGCATTGCTCAGTGGTTGAGCATTGACCTATGAACCAGGAGGTCACGGTTGGATTCCTGGTCAGGACACATGTCTGGGTTGCGGGCTCAGTCCCCAGTGTGGAGTGTGCAGGAGGCAGCCAATCAATGATTCTCTCTCATCACTGATGTTTCTATCTCTCTCTCCTCCTCCCTTCCTCTCTGAAATAAAGAAAAAAACGTATTTAAAAAAAAACACCACTATATAATTTTTTTTAACCTAGAAAAATCCTGGCATGTATGAAAAGAAAACGAGAAATGTATAAGGATCACTGTAATTCTGATTATTATGATGGAAAACTGGAAATTAATTAAATGTGCAAAATAGGAGAAAAGTTAACAAATTATCTTATATCTATATGTTACCTCCCAATTAGGCAGATCTCCAAGTATCCACATGGAATGACTTCAAAGACATATTAAATGAAAAAAAAAACACACACCATGTTACAAATTAACAGGTACAGAATGATCCCTTTGTTTTATAACACAACTATTTCTATATGTAGACATATTATTGGATAAAATGAAAAGTCTAGACCAGTGCTGGCTAATAGATATTATATTGCCAACTATATGTGTAATTTTATATTTTCTAGTAGCCGTATTAAAAAAAGTTAAAAGAAAGAGGTTAAAATTCAATTTTATAATATACTAGAGTTCCGATGCATGAAATTTGTGCTGGGGAGGGGGGGTCCCTCAGCCCACCCAGTGCCCTCTCACAATCTGGGACCCCTCAGGGGATGTCTGAGTGCCGGTTTAGATCAAGTCTAAACCTGCAGTCGGACATCCCTCTCACAACCCAGGACCCCTCCCTCCTAACTGTTCACCTGCTCGTTCATTACCGCTTGGCTCACAGCTCCTTAGCGCTGCCCCGGAGGCAGTCTTGGCTCCCACCACCACTGCTGTGCTCGCCAGCCCAGCTTCTGGCTGAGCAGCGCTCCCGCTGTGGGAGCACACCGACCACCAGACGCTCCTGCATTAAGCGTCTGCCCCCTGGTGATCAGTGTGCGTCATAGCCACTGGTCCTTCCGCCATAAGGGTAGCTGGGCTTTTATTATATAGGATTTTATTTAACCCAATATGTAAAAACTTATTTCCATATGTAATCAATATAAGTTAGTAACAAGATATTTTACATGTTTTTTTCATACTAAATCTTTGAAATGCAATTTGTATTTTACACTTGCAGTCCATCTCAGTTTGGGCCAGCTACATTCAAGCACTCAATAGCCCTGTGGCCAGGGCTATCAGACAGCACAGGTATAAACACATCAAAGTGGTTACTCTGTTGGGAGAGTGGGTGAGGGGGGATGCTTTATTTTTCCTCCATATTCTTTTGTATTGTTCAATTAAAATTGTAATGTAATGTTTCATGTATTACTTTACTAAAAACAAATAATACATCAGAATTATATTGTGTAATACTTCATATTTCATTCTTTAATGTTTTATTAATCTTTTCTGTTTTTCAGTATTGAAAACACAGTAATAGCAAGAGAAGTAAAAAAGAGCTTATCAAAATGTGAACCATCCCGGCCGGCGTGGCTCCATGGTTGAACATTGACCTATGAACCAGGAGGTCATGGTTCAATTCCAGGTCAGGGCACATGCTTGGGTTGCGCTCCATCACCAATAGGGGGTGTTCAGGAGGTAGTCCATCAATGATTCTCTCTCATCGACATTGTATGGCCCACAAAATCTCTGAAATCAATAAAAAATATTTTTTTAAAATGTGAACCATTAAGTAATGAGACTATTAAACTGATTGAACTGAATACACATTTTCTGAGTTTGAGCTATCTGTGAAGAGTTAGGCATTATAGAACACAAAAAGAATGATACGTTGTCCTAAAAGGTTTTCAGAGACAGCTTTGGAACTCCCTTTACAGCTTCCATATTCTCTTCAGGTTGGATTTGATTTCTAGCAATGGCCGAAAACCCTCCAGTTGGGTCCAGTAAATCAAGCTAAATATTTATGGTTTTGTCTAAAATGGACTGTGACTCTAGAGTCGAAGGAAACATTTTATTATGTAACTTGCAAACTGGGAACTGCAAATTACTTCCAAAGACATTTATTGTTTGCAACAATAAATTAAGTGGATAATGCAACAAGGCAACTGTGGGAAAGGGCAGCTTAAAATGGATACATTCTGGCTCTAGCCTGTTTGGCTCAGAGTATAGCATTGGCCTGTGGACTCAAGAGTTCTGGGTATGATTCTGAGCAAGGGCACATGCCTGGATTGCACGCTAGATCCCCAGTAGGGGGGGTGCAGGAGGCAGCCCTTCAATGATTCTCTCTCATCACTGATGTTTCTATCTCTCTGCTCTCCTCCCTTCTCTCTGATATCAATAAAAACGTATTTTAAAAAAATGGATACATTCTGGTTTCCTTTAAAAAATAAAAAGTAGTTGTTCCATATTCACTTAGCCCTGTGTACCTTCCTATTCTTTTTTCTATCTCCAACTATTTTCTGCAAATTGCCCAGCATGCAAAGTTAGGAGCCAAAAGATATTCACCAGTTTCAATATGCTGTAATACAGAATTAGAAGGAAGCTTACTAATGAACCAGTTACTATTACTGGCTTTATTTTTTACTTTTAATAATTTGTTATTTCATAGTTTGTTAAAATCAAGGGTAAAATTAAGTCTTTACTTTGTTCAGGACTCATCAGTGATTTACGATTGCCCTTGGTGAAGAGTGAGCAAACACCAGGATAGGGACAAAACTACTAACTACAGCCCTAGCTGGTTTGGCTCAGTGGATAGAGCGTCGGCCTGCGGACTGAAGGGTCCCAGGTTCGATTCCCGCCAAGGGCATGTACCTTGGTTGCAGGCACATCCCCAGTGGGGGGGTGTGCAGGAGGCGGCTGATCAATGTTTCTAACTCTCTATTCCTCTCCCTTCCTCTCTGTAAAATCAATAAAATATATTAAAAGAAAACAACTATTGACTACTATTCTAGTATATCAATATATTTTGAAAAAAGGGGGAATCAAAAAAAATTTTAATTACCTGTATTTTTTTAGAATAACGAGTCTGCTATTTTTTTTTAAATATATTTTATTGATTTTTTACAGAGAGGAAGGGAGAGGGACAGAGAGTTAGAAACATCGATGAGAGAGAAACATCGATTAGCCGCCTCCTGCACATCTCCTACTGGGGATATGCCCACAACCCAGGTACATGCCCCTGACCGGAATCGAACCTGGGACCTTTCAGTCCGCAGGCCGACGCTCTATCCACTGAGCCAAACCGGTTTCGGCTGCTATTTTTATTATTATTATTTTAAAGTATATTTTTATTGATTTCAGAGAGGAAGGGAGAAAGAGATAGAAACATCAATGATGAGAGAGAATCATTGACTGGTTGCCTCCTGCATGCCCCCTACTGGGGATCGAGTCTGCAACCCAGGCATGTGCCCTCGGCGGGAATCGAACCTGGGACCCGACCGTTCACAGGCCGGTGCTCTACCCATTGAGCCAAACCAGCTAGGGCGAGTCTGCTATTTTTAAAAGATTGGGACTAAAAAATGCCAAAAGTAGCCGAAACCGGTTTGGCTCGGTGGATAGAGCGTCGGCCTGCGGACTGAAAGGTCCCGGGTTCGATTCCGGTCAGGGGCATGTACCTGGGTTGCGGGCACATCCCTAGTAGGAGATGTGCAGGAGGCAGCTGATCGATGATTCTCTCTCATCGATGTTTCTAACTCTCTATCTCTCTCTCCCTTCCTCTCTGTAAAAAATCAATAAAATATATTTTAAAAAATGCCAAAAGTAAAGGTGAGAGCGAAGGGGGAAAGGAGGTTATGTTTCCCCTTCGAAAATTTTCATAGAATCATTTTTTAAATATATTTTATTGATTTTTTACAGAGAGGAAGGGAGAGAGATAGAGAGTCAGAAATATCGATGAGAGAGAATCATCGATCAGCTGCCTCCTGCACATCTCCTACTGGGGATATGCCCGCAACCCAGGCACATGCCCCCGACCGGAATCGAACCTGGGACCTCTCAGTCCCCAGGCCGACGCTCTATCCACTGAGCCAAACCGGTTTCGGCCATAGAATCATTTTAAGCTGCAAGCGACCTAAATAAACCTAATGTCATTTTTTAAAAATATATTTTTATTGATTTCAGAGAAGAAGGGAGGAGGAGAGAAACGACAATGACGAGAATCACTGATCGGCTGCCTCCGGCACGCCCCTTCTGGGGATGGAGCCTGAAACACGGGCGTGCGCCCTGACCGGGGACCCATCGGTGACGCTCAACCACTGAGAACACCGCCCGGCAAGCCTCCGGCCACTTCGCGGAGCGGAGTCTTCAGGACGAGGCGGAGGCCAGCGGGGACCACTGGAGGGAGTGCCCCAGGCCCGCGGTTCAGCATCGCTGCAGCCTGTTGACGGCCTCAGCTCTCCCTCACCCCAGTGCAGGCGCCCCTGTCGCAGCAGCTCGCTCGCCCTAGGGGCCCAGCACCCCCACACTTCTCCTACACCCTTCAGATTCCCCGTCGGGGAGGAGGCTTCTCAACATTGGTCGCTCCTCGGCCTCTGCCATCAGCCTTTCAGATTTCCCATCACCGGCCTTCCTCTTTGAGGGTCGAGCATCAGAACCCTCCTCCATTTCGGACGCCTACCTCTGCCTTCAGATCTTCCCCCTGAACGCAGCCTCCGGCCTCCCCACGGTCCCTTCCCTCGGTCTGCACGGGGTGTGAGGAACTTCTCCCCTCGGTCTGCAAGGTCTCCTCCGCCTCCTCCCTCGGTCTTCGGGGCCCCTCCCTCAGCCTGTGGGGCCCCGCCCTCCTCGTGAAGAGTCCCCTCGCCCGGCCAGCGGGGTTCCCCAGAGCCGCACGCCCGCCCGCCTCGCGCACTTACCTCGCCGCCGCGGGCTCTCCCGAGCTCGCACGCTCCGGCGCGATCTCGGGGGCGCGCACGCCGGGCGGCGGCGACGCCGGGCCGCGCGCACAGCGTGCACGGTGACGTCAGTGCGCTGGCGGCGGCGGCGGCGGCGGCGGCGGCAGTGGCGGCTCCAGGGCTGTTTGTTCTGCTCTCCCGCAGCCGAGGTGCCGAAGCAGTGGCTGCGACGGTGGCGGCTGCCGGCGGTGCTCGCCGGCGAGCGGGGCCTGTGAGCGCGGCGGAGCGACGGGCGGGCCCCGGCGCCGCATAGCAGCTCCAGGAGGAGGCTGCGGCGGCCGGTGGGGGCGGCGTGCGGCCTAGCGTTTCAGGTGAGGACCAGTGCCCTTCGGGGCGACGGAAGGCTCAGGGCGGCCAGCGAGGGCTCTCAGCGCCGCCCGCGTCACCTGCATTGCGTAATGGGGCCGGTGCGCCAGTTCCGACGCCATCGGCGCGAGGGTAGGGAGGCCGGGGCGACGCGGGCTCGGGCCTGCGGGCCTCCCGCGTCCCCGCGCCGCCCGCTCGCGCCGGGGTCGCCTGCGCCGTTGGCGTCGGGGCGTCGGGCCGCTCGCTTGCCCGCCCCGTCATGGGCGCCGACGCCCCCGGGGTCGGGCCGGTCAGCGGGGCGGGGGCGTCTGCGGGGGGCGCGTGCGCCGCGGCGGGGCGGGCGGCCGGGGGAGGGGGGGCGGGCCGAGGCGCTCAGCACTTCCTGTCGCCGCCATTTTGTCAAGTGAGGAGGAGGAGGAGGAAGCGGCCGCTGCGGGGCCAGCGGCGCGCCCGGCCCGGGTAAGTCCGGGCCCGGCGAGGTGGCCGCGGCGCCGCCGTCCCCGGAGCGGCCTTGGCCTCAGCCCCACCGCTCACGTGGGTCGGGCCCGGCGCGCTCTTGGCCCACCTCGGCGCCTTGGTCCTTCCGCCTGGGCTGGGGCAACGCGCCCCCGCCCCCATTTCCTCACCTTCCCGAGTGTCCTCGGAGCTCTGCGGAGAATGCGGCCGTTCCCTCCCGGGAGGAGGCTGCCGCTGCACTCCGCCTGGGGGGCGAGCCGGCTCTCTCCACCCGACTACTCCCAGCCTGGCAGCCCCTCGCTGGGCGCTTTGTTTTGCTGGGTCGGTGCTCGCTTGGCGTCCTTGCCACTGCCCCGTTTATTTGCGGTGTTATGCGGGGTGATGGGTTGGAGTTGGGATGTGATGGAGTTGGGATTCAGCGAAATAAAAATGACCGCCCCCCCCCCCCCACAGAAATAGCACAGCTTTACCCAGCTGAGACGCCCCCAAAGCCTGGCCTTGGACGGAGATGGGAAACCCCACTTTGGTGTAGTGGATAGTGTTCGGGCCGGTGGATGAGTCATGTGCTTTTGCTGAGTGGCTGGCTGACTTCCCTTTTACGCAAGACCACGCACTGTTTTTTGAAGTGTTTTTATGTAGTTGTTTACCCATTTGATGTTTCATGCAACCTGCTGGGGTTTATATTCTTGGTCCTTGGATTCATTTTTACCTGTGTGTTGGATGCAAGAGGGGACCTCTTGCAGTCCGTGCCTAATGAGACTTGAAGTGTCTTTGCTTACCTTTGAGAGGGCTGTAGGTGTCCGAGTTGACAAAAAGCAAGTCTCAGTGTACTTCTAAGCCAGTGGCTCTTTGGTGCTATAATACAGTTGGAGATTTTCATGAATGAGGCTGTCAAGTTCCTTAAATTGTGAGCCCTTGGAATTTGTAGTCCTTAGAATTTGTAAAACAAGCGATACTCAACAGGATTTATGAATGTGCTTGCAATTTCAAGGTTTTAGATGGCACAGTTTTACGACCTTGCCAGTAATTTAATAAAACATTCCTTTCGTTTTAATTTGGATGGAAATTATCTTCCAGCAAGGCATTGTAGATAACCAACTCCTTCTCCCCAAAAGCTTCAACCTGGGGCAGGTAAAACTCTCAGATGGTTTCAGCTTACCAAATCGAGAAGGAAAAGTCTGATCAGAAACAAAATGCATCCCCTTATTACCCACCATATCCCCTATCTTGGTAGGAAACAGTATCTAAGGACTGAAGCTGTGGAGTAAATGAGTCTTAGACTATGTCTCCAAAAGTTATCTTTTTGAGCCAGTTGCAATCTTTGTACTAATTTGCACTTCTGCTTTTGGTGGTGGTGGATATTTTCGTGTTACACAAATGGGATTATTGAATGCCTTCTCTTTTTTTCTATTTTTCGTATTTTTAAAAAAATTAAATTAATTTTAGAGAGAAGGAGAAAGAAACATCCATCAGTTGCCTCCCTAATGCACCCAACTAGGAATCGAACCGGAAACCTGGGTATGTGCCCTTCGCTGGGAATCGAACCTGCCACCTTTGGGTGGACAGTATGTGGGGATTCCTTGCTGATGATGACAGTTAACTCATAAGGCACGAGTTTATGCTCTGGCTTCAACCAACAGCCACACTGGCCTCGCTTTTTCTTTTTTTTTCTTTTTCTTTTTTTTTGTATATTCAGCGTTTTAGATAATCTTTATTTCTCATTGGTGCTTTTTAATGGTTTCTTTGTTATCTATATATTTTTTGTTAATTCCCACCTGAGGATATTTTTCCATTGAATTTTAGAGAGAGTGGAAGGGAGGGGGAGAGACAGAGAGAGAAACTTTGATGTGAGAGAGATACATCGGTTGGTTGCCTACTGTATGCTCCCTTGACCTCAATCAAACCCAGGAAACTTGTCCATTGGCCAATGCTCCATCGACTGAGCCAAACCAGCTAGGGATCTTGGTTATTTTTTATACTTATTATTTCTTTGTTTAAATTATCACTGAGTTCAAGCATTCTTCTCTAAAGTTCCTGGAGTATCCTTATAACCATTGTTTTGAATTCTTTACCTGGTAGATTACTTGCCTCCATTTCATTTAGTTCTTTGCTGGGGTCCAACCCCAGCAGGTCCAGGGGTCCCCAAAGGTGTGGACGGAGTCGGCGAAGAAGGAATGACACGGAGACAGCGTTCAGTTGATCAGTAGCCTTGCCAGGATCTCTAGCCACAATCTCCAGCCAAGTTCTGGTTAGGATCTCCAGCCAGGTTCTGTGTCCATGTTCTCTTGCTAGGCTCTCCAGCCAGGTTCGGTCGCCGGGTTCTTCAGCCAGGTTCTCCAGGTTCTCCAGCCAGGTTCTGTAGCCATGTTCCCTCGCTAGGTTCTCCAGCCAGGTTCAGTCACCAGGTTCTAGTCAGGTTCTCTTGCCATGTTCTATCCAGGTTCTGTAGCCAGGTTCTGTCTCTAGGTTCTCCAGCCAAGTTCTGTAGCCAGGTTCTGTCCAGGATCTTTTGCCGTGTTCTGTCTCTAGGTTCTGTGTAAGTTCTGTGTCTAGGTTCTGTCGCTTTTTCTTAATTTAAAGTAAAAACCATTTGGTGCCTAAGTAACTTGAAGAACTGGGCTGTTAAACCTTCGAACAGCCCACTGTCACTGTCTGTCACAATTATGTGCATGTAAAATGTTTCAGTTTTTGATACTAAATAACTTTGTGAAGTAGATTGTGTGTTGTCTTTATGTGGTAAAAGTACAAAAAGAAAGGCTTGTTATTGAAAATTGCTAACGTTAGTGGACATTCTCATTTGCACAGTGAGGATTGTGGGCATTCCTTGCTGATGACATTTAACTCATAAGGCATGAGTTTATGCTCTGGCTGGTGTTCTCTGTGGTTAGAGTGTTGTCCCATGTCAATTCCTGGTCAGGACACGAGTGTGAGACAACCAGTGGATTTTGTCTTTTACATCAATGTTTCTCTCTGTCTCCCTCTCCCATTCTTTGGCTCTAGAATCAATAAAAAGGCATATCCTTGGTGAAAAAAAGGCATGAATCTAAAAATAAAATTTGTCCTAAATTATTTTCTTTTTTCTGGACTGTTAAGTTCCATGAAGACAGGGTTTTGTTTGCTTCGCTTTGTCTATTTTTATTCTATATTGTAGCCTTAATTCCTATAAGAGCACCTAAAATATTCTTTGAGTGAATAAACTGAAGAGATAATTGAGCAAGAATTTGGGATGCCCACAATACCAACTGCAAATAATTCCTTTTATGTTAATAAAATATTGTTAACAGGGGACATAATTGGTCAGTAGGACTTACAAGGAATGTGAATTTTATTTTTTATTTTTTTCAAATATATTTTATTGATTTTTCACAGAGAGGAAGGGAGAGAGATAGAAAGCTAGAAACATCGATGAGAGAAAAACATCGATCAGCTGCCTCCTGCACACCTCCCACTGGGGATGTGCCCGCAATCCAGGTACATGCCCCTGACCGGAATCGAACCTGGGACCCTTGAGTCCGCAGGCCGACGCTCTACCCACTGAGCAAAACCGGTTTTGGCAGGAATGTGAATTTTAACTAAGATAACATTAAGATCTCTAAAAATTGCAGTAAACTTATTAGTAGTCCAGGCAGTGTGGCATGCAGTATTTCTGTGCACTGTCTACTGTATATTTCCTACTTAGCAGTTTGAAATGTGGTGAGTGTTTTTAGGCTGTGGTTCAACTCTGACCTGAGAAAAGTGTCTTAAGAGAGTGTTAAATCGTGCCTAATAATAAACAGGTATGGGTAGCATTTCTTAATGTGAATCTCATATTGTCAGTAAAAACTTGATTAAAAAAAAGATTGAGTACTTCCTTTGTGAAATTCTCATTTCATGTGTATGTGATTGGCTAATCCATATCAACAATTAGTTCCTGAGCTCTTACTATGCACAAGGGAAGACAAAAAGATATTTGCTCATGACTTGTTTGGTACATATATTCTTTATTAATGTATTCATCCCCAAAGTATTTATTGAATATAAACTATGTATTATGACAGCTTTACTTGGACATAATTTACACATGATACAGTTCACCAATTTAAAATGTACAATTCAGCCCTGGCCAGTGGGGCATCGTTGCTTGTACCCTAAGGTCACAAGCAGGAGAGAACCAATCAATGTGTCTCTCTGATTGATGACCCTCCCTCCCTCTCTCTCTCTCTTCCTCTCTAAAAATCAGCAATAATAAAAACATTTAAAGTGTACAATCCAGTGTTTGCCTATTCTGTATATTTCAGGAATTATATAACTTTTTGTGTCTAGCTGCTTTTATAGTACATGGTATAATGTTTTCAGGGTTTGTACTGTAGTATGAATCAGTACTTTGTTCCTTTTATAACTGAATGCTCTTCCATTATATGGATATGCTACATTTTATCCCTTCATCAGTTGATAGATATTTGGGTTTTGGCTATTATGAATAATGCTATCAGTGTTCATGTGCAAGTTTTTGTGTGGACATATGTAGTAATTTATCTTGGGTAGATGCCGAGGCGTGGAATTGCTGGGTCATAGTAACTAACTTTTTGAGCCTACACAGTAACTTTTTAACGGCATTGATTTTCTAGTGCTTTTACAGAGGGTTTAAAAGAAAAGCTTAATGGAATATGGTATGGCCACTTAAAAGAATGAGGAAATGAAAGTGCAAGGATGTCAGCATGTTGACATGTAGTACAGTCTGGGTAGTTTGATTAAATTATACTTTGTTTTTTAAATTATACATTGTTGGAGAACAGTTTGAAATTCTAATAAGGCACAGAAAATAG